ACACGCTTTAGGGAGGAGTGACAGCATTCAGCTGATATTCTGACTGGAGTCCTTCAGGAAATCTATCTGAGGTCCTTAGAGTCCTGAGGCTGAGGCTGGGCAAAGACTGTCTCTGAGAGTACAAGAGTGGGCTAGTCATACACTGTCCTTGCGGTCCAGAAGCAGCTGGGTCGGCTGACACTTCTGCAGGTTGGTAAAGTCAGAGACAAGAAGTCAAGAATGCCCTTGGAAATGAAGGAAGATGGAAATGACCTCAGCTACACATCATCAAGCTGCCAAATTCACCTCCAGGTCCACATCCCCAACTGTGGCAGGAGCAGGAGGTGATGGAGCTGGGCCAACCCATTCCTTCAACCATTAAAAGCGATGGAAAATCAGAGGAAAACAAGTGGTTTCAGGCCCGGACTCTTCTGTAGCTTCGACAACTTTGGCCCACGAGTAGGACTAAAGGGCTGACAGAAGGGAAGCCCAAGGCAGGGTGTGAGAACAAGGTCTGAAGACGATGAATGATGGCCTGGCGGGGTGTACAGTCCCACCACTGCCTCCTTCCTTACGACCACTGGCCCAGCTTTCCCCCATTTCTCATCATCACACCCAGGAGACTACACCGGGCTTTGGATCTGGGCCCATTCTTTACTGGAAACAACTAGCTAATTGCAAACACTTACTACGAGCACAAAAAACATAGCATAGCACAAAAGCACTCTGTAAAGCCTGCCAAAAGCTTCTTTTTATTACTGGTCATAATGACACTAGTGTTTTCCCTGACCTGGCACGTTCCCCTCTGGGCCTGTGATGGTGAGAGGCCTACACAGGGCTCCCCACTGGAAGGCCCTGGAACAGGCCAAAGGAAGCTCCCTGCAGCCAGGATCCTGGGAGCCGTGCTACACACTCTGTTAACCAGGGCCATCTCTGCAATTCCATAGGAGGAAGGACTGGAACGGATGAAGCTGTCTTATCTAGATGGTGAAGGAAGAGGTCTAAGGGCCTCTATTGTCACCAGAATTAGCAAAGAGCCCTGCCCAGAAAACTTCTTTCCTAACCCCCGACCCTTGAGGATATTATGATGATGAGCCAAACTTAAAACTTGTATGTAAGCTCCACCGGTCACTCTAGGCCACAGGATGGCAACAGGAAGTCCTTGCTCTGTTAAGGACTCTCTGTGTAGTGCAGACACCCTCATGCTCCTGTGTAGTTTGCTGTGTCCTCGGTTTGGCAAGATCACCACCCCCACTCCACTGTCCCCATAGATTTCTTTTTTTTTTTTTGTAATTGTTATAATTAAATGAAGTTTACATTTCAAGGCAGTCTCCCATACAAAATTTTTTTTTTTTTTTTGCATCCCCATAGACTTCTAATGCTTACCCTTGTAACACCACCAGCAGTCTCGTCTTCTTGCGGGTGTAGGCTGACTGGCGGGCAGAGCGGTTCTGTTGGGCCTCCAAGGCACTGGAAAGGTATCTCTGGAAGTGGGCAGCATGAAAACATTCGGAGCTGTCCATGAGCTGGCGGTACACCATCCACCTGGAGATAGCAAACGCAATCTCAGCAGGGGGCCACCTGATGTCCTGGCCCTGTAGGCTCAGCCAGTTCCCGCTAGTGGATTCAAATGTGACCAATACATTCCCACAGACATCATGCCCAGTGAATCTGTACAGGAGAAAGCAATCCTGGCAGTGAAGAAAAGGATGGAGGGCCCTGGCTGGTTGAGAGCCCACTATTTTGAAACCATTATCACTGGGGCTTTTGATGAGAAACCCCTTGCCACAGGAAAAGAGGTCAGGTCAGCACATGATCAACAGACTTCAGAGTTGAGAAAGACTCCCGCTGACCAGTCAGCTACTTCCTGAAAGACCATTCGATAAGATGACTTCTGTCTGGTGCTCTGTAAGACTCTTGCTAAGAATAAGAAATAGGTAAGATGAAGAATTCAGAACGTTTACAGAACAAAAAAAGGAGTCCTAGTGGCACAGTGGGTAAGCACTTGGCTGCTAACTGAAAGGCTAGCTGTTTGAACACATCAGTCGCTCTGAAGGAGAAAGACCTGGTGATCTGCTCTCATGAAGATTACAGCCTAGGAAACCCTATGGGCAGCTCTACTCCGTCACATGGGGT